GTCGACTTTCTTCAATAAAGTTGAGTTTCACCATATACCAAGAGTAGAGAATCGAATGGCAGATGCTTTAGCGACTTTATCCTCCATGATTGTGGTAAATCATTGGAATGATGTGCCAAAGATTAGCGTGATGCGTCTTGATAGACCAGCTCATGTGTTTGTAGTTGAAGAGGTTGTTGATGATAAACCATGGTATTATGATATTAAATGCTTTCTTCAGAATCAAGAGTACCCACTTGGGGCATCCAAGAAGGATAAGAAAACTTTGAGAAGATTGGCTGGTAGTTTCTTCTTGAATGATGATGTGATGTATAAGAGAAATTATGACATGATCTTGCTCAGATGCGTGGATAGACACGAAGCAGATATGTTGATGAAAGAAATCCATGAAGGATCCTTTGGCACCCATGCCAATGGATATGCTATGGCTAAGAAGATGTTAAGGGCAGGTTATTATTGGTTGACAATGGAATCTGACTGTTGTAAATATGTGAAAAAGTGCCATAAATGCCAGATTTATGCTGACAAGATTCATGTGCCTCCAACTCCTCTCAATGTTATCTCTTCTCCATGGCCTTTTTCAATGTGGGGCATTGATATGATTGGAATGATTGAGCCTAAGGCGTCGAACGGACACCGTTTCATATTGGTGGCTATTGACTATTTTACCAAATGGGTTGAAGCGGCATCATATGCAAATGTGACTAAGCAAGTAGTGGTCCGGTTTATCAAGAATCAAATCATCTGTCGGTATGGTGTTCCGAGCAAGATCATCACTGATAATGGGTCGAATTTAAATAACAAGATGATGAAGGAATTATATGATGAGTTTAAGATTGAGCATCATAATTCTTCTCCTTATAGACCCAAGATGAATGGGGCTGTTGAAGCTGCTAATAAGAACATTAAGAAGATTATTCAAAAGATGGTTGTTACATACAAGGATTGTCATGATATGCTTCCTTTCGCTATGCATGGGTATCGTACATCCGTTCGCACTTCAACAGGGGCAACCCCTTTTTCTCTTGTTTATGGCATGGAAGCAGTGCTCCCGATAGAGGTTGAAATCCCTTCTATGAGAGTTTTGATGGAAACTGAAATGTCCGAGGCTGAATGGTGTCAAAGTAGATACGACCAGTTGAATCTGATTGAAGAGAAAAGAATGACGGCTTTGTGTCATGGCCAATTATATCAACAAAGAATGAAGAAATCATTTGATAAGAAGGTTCGACCCCGTGTGTTCAGAGAAGGTGACCTCGTGCTAAAAAAGATCTCGACTTTTACTACTGATTCTAGGGGCAAGTGGACTCCTAATTATGAAGGCCCATATGTTGTTAAGAGAGCCTTCTCTGGCGGTGCATTAATTCTTACAACTATGGATGGAGAAGAGTTCACTCATCCTGTGAATGCCGATGCAGTCAAGAAATACTTCGCCTAAAAAATAAAAGAACAGCTCGCTAAGTTGAAAACCTGAAAGGGCGGCTTAGGCAAAAATGAGCGTCTCGGTGGATTGAAAACCCGAAAGGGCGGTCCAGGCAAAATTTAGAGACAAAAACAGAAATAATCATCCCGGTAGATTGAAAACCCGAGAGGGCAATCTAGGAAAAAGTTAGGGATCATGGCAAGTAACTGCATCTGGCCAGTCTTGATCGTTTGAAGCAACATTTCCTATCAAAGGTTTTACTTCAGATATTCTTCGCTGAAGTCTCAAGCACAGTTGGAATTCAAAGTTGTTAGGGAGAATAAGGGTCATTGTATTTCAATGTAGAACTTTCCATTGTACTTACCATTTTTCAAACTTTGTAATGATCCATGGAGTTACACCATTTGCGGACTACCATTCTATCAATAGAATTTGGGCCTTTGTCCCTTTGTTTGCAATTCTTATTTTGTTTCTGTTTACAGAATTTCATTTTATTTTTGATGATGATTTTTGAAACAAATGTGAATAATTGATTTAAATTTTGAAAATTATAAAAGCATTTTTCTTTGATTTGTGAAAATAAAAGAAAGGATGTCAACAGTAATCCCAAGAATGGTAGAATCTTGAAGCGAAAAGCGTAAGTGTTCTCTTCAGCAGGGTTCTTTCTTGCCTCTCTGATAGAGTTTATTAGCAGCTCCCCAGTAGAGTTGTGTTGATGTTTCCCCATTTGAGCTATATTGAGGTCTCTTCCGTAGAGTTTGCTGATATTCCCTTAGCAAAGTTTTGTTTCTTTGGATAAACCAGACGAGTGTTGAACGGTTTTCCACAACAAAGTATTGATTCAAAAAATGGATATGTTTTATTCATTCAACCAGGTTATGATTGAACAGTTGAGAAATTTGAAGACCATTTCTCCTTGATGTTTTTGCCCAGGCGGAGATTTGTCTTTGATAATTCCTAGCAGAGGTTATGCACATTTGCTTTGGATTATTCCCCAAGTAGAGAACAATGTTGAGAAGTGTTGACATAGCAGTCACCTGTCGGGTTTTCTCTCACCTTGTGATTGGGTATTGATTTAAAATCCCCCACAGTTTGACTTTTTGCTATGATGTTAACTTCTTATTCCCCTGGCAGGTTTGGAAGATTTGTGTTGCTATGTTTTCTCCAACATTTTTTTTCTCAAAGCGGAGTTCATATTGTTGTTCCCTTTTGTTGAATTATTGATGGTTGAAGATTGATCTTGGGGGTCTTTTCCCAAGCGGTATCTTTGTCTCTTCAGCGAGATTTAAGCCTTGTAGTAGGATTTATTTTCCTTTGATGGCTCTTGTGTATCTCTTGCAGATTTTCTGTTGCTGATCCCCAGCACGATCTCCAATGATATCTCTAACTTGCAGAGATTAGCCGAGTATTTCAGTGGTGTTGTGGTGTTTTGTTCACCCTCTGTTTGCCCTTTTTGTCTGATTTATCAGCATATTCATACTCATTACATGCACATTCATTTTGGTTGAGCATAACATGTCTTTGTTGCATTGTGCATCCTGCATTTTTTGTTGGTATTTCCCTTTTCCCGATGTTGTTATCTCGCGGAATGCGTATGTCCTCTCTTCATTAGAGTGTCGACCTCTAAGCAGAAAATACCTATCATTTTTAATTCCCCACTGAGTTTATGCCTCGTGGAAGATGTTTTGTTTAGCTTTCTTCCCCAGCTTTTATCTGGATGGAATTGTTCCCCAGTTAAGTTATTTCCTCATTGGGTCGAGTCTTGTTTGACCGTTTCTTTCCAGTTTGTTCCTGGATTGAACTTTGGTCTCTTGCAGCAGTTACTTTGGTTTTCCCTGGGCTGTGAAACCGGGATGACGAGAAGGTATTTTTGAGGATTTATTTTCCTCAGCAGGAATCTGTTATTGATCCCCAACAGAAGGTGAAGATTTGATTTTCCCAGTAGTGTTTTGATAACACTCTCTTGGTAATTACTTATGCAACTTCATGTGGAAGCCTCTTTATTTGAGCAGCTTGTGTAATCTCCAGAAATTTACCTTCGCAATAAATAACATTTCTCTAGTTCATCCTCAACAGAGAAGTTTATTGTGAAATGATGGATCCTTATCCAACTAACTTTTCTGTCAATTGGAATTTCTGTGGAATAGCTCCCGATGAGAATTCTATTGCATGGTTCAACCTGCTCGTATCTCTTTTAAAGATCCCCGACAGAGTTGTTAATATCTTTTTCCAACAAATGGTTGTCTCTTTATTTGAGAAGTTTGTTGTGTGTTTGGAGCTGCTCAGTAACAAGTGGCTGATGATATATCTCTTTCCCCTACCCAGTGACAGGTAGTCGAGTCTGTCCTACCCAGTAACAGGTAGTTGACATGTTGTTTACCCTATCCAATAACCGATAGTTGGTAACCCCTTTCATTCAAGTTTATTATTCTTGCTAAACTACTCAGTAACCAGTAGTTGGCGTTGCTTCTTTTCCTACCCAGTAACAGCTAGTTGATTATATCTCAATGAGTGGATTACTTTTTATCCAGTAACTGGTAATAAGTAATATATCTCTGTTTTCTACCCAGTAACAGGTAGTTGATTATATCTCAACGAGTGGATTACTTTTTATCCAGTAACTGGTAATAAGTAATACATTTCTTTGTTTTCTACCCAGTAACTGGTAGATAACAATTCTCTTGTGTTTTTTGCACTTATTTTCTACTCAGTAACCAGTAGAAAGTATTTTACCTGTTCTCTTCGGTTCGAATATCTTCGCCCAGTAATTGGCAGTTGGTATCTCTTTCCCCGTTGAGTCGTTTCCTTTCTTTTATCGAATTAGGGTCTTGTTTTTTTGTTTTCCCCTGTGGAGTCTCTTTTCTTCTTTTTCTCCCGAGTTTTTGTTTGTCTCCTGTGGCATTTTCTCCCCGCAGAGGTCTTGTGTTTGCATACCATTAGCATAACCATATCATTTTGTGGTCTCTTAGGGCCAAAAATTGGGTTTATTGTTATATTTAAGTCTCTTCTATCTGGTCGAGACAAAGATGTCAATCTTCATATCTCCCTATAGAAGAATCTTAAATAGGGACAGCTGTAATACCCAAATTTTTTACCCCTAAGATCCCATATTGCATTTTCATTTTTGCATACACAAACAAGACCATACTTTTTTGGTTCTCTCAGCGCACTTGTGTTTTTTTACTTGCTTTATATTTACTAACCTCTAACCAAAATACCAAAAAAATATTTTTCAATTTGTTGGTTTCTTCTTCTTCTCTGTGTGTTTAGGGTTTTGCAAGGAGATTAATGGCAAAGACATTCATTCAAGTTTAAATCAGATGGACGTTTGACCTCATCTTGGTCAAACCATCAAGAGTCTGCTTCAATTATGAGTTACCAGTGGTAGTGGACTATTTTCTCAGGAAATGTGTTTGTTCAAGGTTGTTTTGTCCTGTATCTAAATTCATCAAGCTTTCAAGCAGTGTTCTATGAGAAGTTTGCCAGATGTGACTTAACACTAGCTTTTATTTTCTTGCTAAATGTTAGAGGTTCATCTATAGACCATAGTCACTTTTCTTCAGAACGCATTTCAAATATGCCAAGCTCTATAAATAAGATGAGGGACTTCATCAGTTGGATCATTTGGGGTCAAGATGGTGGATCTTCTACATTTTTGAGTCGTTCTATTGATCTTGCATTTATCCTTTTCAAGCATGACCAATATTGTGCTGCTGAGCAATTGCTTATGATGGCGGAAGCACATTTGCTAAAGGAGAAAACATCCCAAAGTGTTCAAGATGCTGATGATGGATGGTGCATACGTCATCATCTTCTAGGATGTTGCCTACTTGCACAGGTGCAGTATGGATTGCATGCAGCACAGAAGGACAAAAAAATTTCAGATGCCATTCGCTGTTTCTTTAGGTCTGCATCTGGAAATGGTGCATCCGGGGCTCTTCAGAGTTTATCTGTCGACGTAGGAATTCCGCATCTTGGTTTTAGCGGTTGTACATCAATTGCGGCGTGGAAGCTTCAATACTATCAATGGGCAATGCAGTTATTTGAACGTTATAACATCAGTGAAGGTGCTTGCCAGTTTGCTCTTGCTGCACTTGAGCAAGTTGATGAGGCTCTGCATATGAAAGAAGAAAAGTGCACGGACAACTCTGCTAACGAATCAGTGACAACCATCAAGGGACGATTATGGGCTAATGTTTTCATATTTGCATTAGATCTTGGACGGTATTATGATGCATACTGTGCAATAATTTCAAATCCAGATGAGGAGAGCAAATACATCTGTTTGAGGTGTTTTATAATTGTTCTTTATGAGCAAGGGGCTATAAAGATTCTTTGCAGCAACAAACTTCCCCTTATTGGTTTAGTAGAAAAAGTAGAACAAGAGCTGGCTTGGAAGGCTGAACGATCAGATATTTCTGCTAAGCCAAACTTGTATAAGTTGCTCTATGCATTTCAATTACATCAGCATAATTGGCGACGGGAAGCAAACTACATATACATGTATTCTGCTCGTTTGAAAACTGAAGCAGCTTTGAAAGATAACCAAGGAAGCTCCATGATGTTGCAAGAGAGGCTGAATGCAGTTTCTGCTGCAGTCAATGCATTACATCTTGTTCATCCTGCATATGCATGGATTGATTCGTTGACTGACCGGAATTCTCTTACTAATGAATGTTATCCAACCGATAATGAGGCTGAGACTCAAAAGGGGCAATCTGCTATTGATATTGAAAAACTTGAGAACGAGTTTGTGCTAACTTCTGAAGAGTATATGCTGTCACTAGTAAATGTCAAGTGGACTTTTTTTGGAAAACCTGGTGCACTATCAGATTTGGTTGATCTCCTTGTCCAAAACAATTTATATGATATGGCCTTTACAATCCTTCTCAGATTTTTCAAGGGTTCCGGACTGAAGAGGGAATTGGAAAGAGTTTTATCTGAAATGGCAATAAAATGCTGTCTTGATAAAGTAGAATCCACTTGGATTGAGGAACATGGTCATTTGTTAACATCATCAAAGCTCGAGATGGTTGTCCATGGTTCACTGGTTACAGTTCCTACAGCTCCACAAATTGACAGAAATAGTCGTTGGGCAACTCTCAAGCTTTACATTGAGAAGTATAAGGACTTTCACGGTAGGTTGCCAGTTATTGTTGCTGGAACTCTTCTTCGAGCAGATCCTAAGATCGAATTGCCTCTTTGGCTTGTTCAATTGTTCAAGGAGGGTCAAAAGGAAAGGATGTGGGGGATGACCGGCCGAGAATCAAATCCTGCATCTTTGTTTCAGCTTTATGTCAACTACGGTCGATATGCAGAAGCCACTTATCTTTTACTCGAGTACATAGAATCATTTGCTTCAATGAGGCCGGCAGATATAGTTAAAAGGAAGAAACCATTTGCTCTTTGGTTCCCGTACACAACTATTGAGCAGCTACTGTACCAACTTGAAGAATCAATCAGAATGGGTCACATGGTAGATCACTGTGACAAACTCAAAAAGATGTTACATGGTTCTTTGCTGAATCATCTGAAGATATTGAAGGTTGACTCAGATGATACAATATCTGCAACTTCTTGAACTCTACTTGAGGTAGTAAAGATACAAGTGTATTCGTAGTGCTCTTCATTACTTGATGTATTTGACAGTATAATTTCTGGTGAATAGCGCAAATTATTGGACGGAAAATACAAGGTAGCTGAAGTTCCTCTAATCGGTACCAGATTTCAGTATAGACGACTTGGAATGTGTCGTGTTTTAATGGATGAGCTTGAAAAGAAGATAAAGCATCTGGGAGTGGAGAGACTAGTCTTACCAGCTGTTCCTGGTGTACTAGAAACATGGACCAATTCTGCTGGTTTCAAGCAGATGGCTAATTTCGAGAGATCGCAGTTTATAGACTATTCTTTCCTAGACTTTCAGGGAACTACCATGTGCCAGAAATTGTTAACTAGAATACCATCTCCAAGTCAGACTGAGATTTTAGAGAATGAAATCCAAGAAAAATTGGAAGTAAGCCATATTAAGAGTTTTACTAGACTACTGTACAATTTTTCAGCTGAGCCACTTGCAACAGGGTAAAAGCAAACTCATCACGTATCTGAGCCATATTTCCAAGTCATGTGAGCCATAAAACTCATCCACGTCACTTAAGTGAGCTGAAAGAAGAAAAAGCAAAACGACATGAAAAAAAATATCACAACAGGTGACACATAACTGGCATCCCAAAACGCAGAAAAAGGACCCAAACGGCAAATCATTTTTACTGATTCTCATCTATAAATAGAACACCTATCTCACTCTATTCTTCAAGCTTTTCAAGCCAATTAATCCCTGCAGAATTTTCATCATAACTCCTCAATTTTCCTTCAAATTTCACTTTCAAAAATCACCCTCAACCGTTCTTCAAATTTCATCAGATTCAACTCTCTTTTCATTTACAAACCTTTCCACATAAAAACTCACCATACTTCAATTTCTTCAACACAACAATCAGAATTTCGCAGTCCAGAAGAAGAAGAAAGAAGAAGAGAGTTTCGATTTCATCATTCACCTGAGTTTGAAGGTAGATTGAGCTTCACCGTCAGTTTTGATCCGTTACTTTTTGTTGTGTTTCTTTGAATTGTTGGTACCATTGTGAAGAGCTCTTGATTTCGATTGCAACCGCGTATTTTTCGCGTCCCGCCGTTGTGATTTAAGCAAGCATCCATGGCCGTGAAGTGTTTCGCGTGAGAAGAAGATATTTCTGTTTATCCTTTTCAAGTATTATGTCATTTATGTTCTTTTCTTTTCTTTTTTTTTTATATATTTCTCTTTTAAGAAAATTGGCCGTGTGGCCCTTTTTTTTTATGTTATTAGTTTTTGTTTTTTTTTAAATAATAATAATAATAATAATATTCTTGAAAAAAAAAAGCATTTAAAAAATTATTTGAAAACATTTTAATTTGGATCAATTGTTGGTTGTTTTGGATCTTGAATTTTGATAGGATTTCATCAATATCAATGGACTTTGGGTGTTGATTTTTATCCACCAAGAGAGGTGATTGATATTGATGATAATTTAATCGATTTAAGATTCAAATTGTGATTTCTTTTCATTTTTATTTTCTTTCTTCTTCTTTTTATTTTTTATAGATGAAATCTATGGATCATAGATTGTTGATTATCAAGGTTGTTTAATCTTCATTATTTCAAATCTATGGATGAATAATCATTGAGATAATTATCCGTACTTTGGAATAGTGATAGATTACCTTTGATTAATTGATTAAAAATCTTGATTATGATGAGATCATTACCTCTTTTCTTTTTGTGTGGCATGTTTTAGGAGAGTGATTTACATATCACTTCTCTAACATGTGTTAACACTAACATTATTATTGACCGGCCTCAGATAGTCGTGGTTTCTACATAAACCCGATTACGATTGCTTAACATAGCGCTAAAGTGTCCCTTAATCGGAAAATGATCATTCGTGGCTCAAACTTACGTTTAAAAGTCCAAGAATGTTTAGTTGCTTGTCTTAAGTCCAATACCTATGAAAATCATTGTTAGGAGGCTTTGATTCTATCAATCCTCTAATGAGTTTTCATTAACCTTGGTCTAAAGTGCAAGAATTAATCATCATTGATCATATGTTCTAACCACTAACCACTAATTCACTAACATTATCTTTGTTTAATTTTGTTTATATTCTCTTCTTACTCCTTATTTCTTACTTTTATGTTTCCATATTATCATTTCATATCATATCTTTGTTTATGTTTATGTCATTTCTCTTTTGTCCACTTGGACCATATCTTGTTCAAAACACTAATAAAGGATAAAAAATCTCTAAAAAAAACTTGGTGTTGTTAACTTTGTGGTTATGCTCTTGGACCACTCTTAGACCTTGGACTTTATGGACCTTTGGACTTAGAATTAGGGCTCTCATTCCTATGCTTGGAGTATTGTGGATCTTAGCCTTTATTTGGCTCGCTCATTAGCTTATGCTTTAAATCGGATGGAATTCTTTTTTGCTTGCTATGGAGTGTGCTGCAAGTTGGTTAGATCTTTCTTATCTCTAGCTCTTATTTTGGTTTCTAGGATAGTCACTTCATCTCCTCCCCTTCTTAAATTTTCAAAACTTTCTCCCTCTTTCAAAACCTTCTTGGTTTCAAACTTCAAAACCGCTTTCGCAATAAAACCTTGACTTTCGTCAAGTGATTTTTAAACTTTTTTTTCTTTCTTAATAAAAGTCAATCAATGTTAATCATGTTTTGACCAATTTCAAAAGACATAAAAAATACAAAAAAACTCATCAACTCTTTTTGTGCCTTTATGCACTTTTTCACTTTAAAACTTTTCATAAAGTTTAGACATGATTCATTTCTATAGTTGAGATGTAAATCTCCTATTCCCCATATTATTAAGACTTTGACATTTTCCACGTTGATGTTGAGTGATAGTCTTGTTGATAATCCAAGCAAATCCTCCATCTTTATGTGACGCAGATGTTGTCTTAATACTCGTGGGTGGATAGTCGCAGTTTTCTCTTTGAAATGACGACTTGTCTTTACATCTAAAATCAATCAAAACCAACAAATTTTTGTCATTTGTACCACGAACTACGGGGTTTTGATTCCATATTGCACTTTATGGGTACGTAGGCATGAGACGATAAGTCTCTCCAAACACAAAAAATCTAAAAAATAATTCTCTTCTCATCTCCCCAATCTCTTTTCAAACAAACCATTTTCAAACCAAAAAGCGTAAATATTTCAAAGGGCTCCTATAGAGTACTATAGACGTTTTGGGTGCTAACACCTTCCCATTGCGTAACCAACCCCCTTACCCCGATCTCTGTCTCGTGTTCTTATTTTAGAACTCTTTGGTTTTGTTCGCTCTTTTTCCTTTCCTTTATTTGGATAAAATAAAAGTGCGGTGGCGACTCTTGTTTTTTGAGTTAAGTTAATCAATAACTTACACTCACGATTTTTACCGCTACAATGTGGATACTCTCTGAAGCTTTGGATTCGTTTACCAGTCAATTGATCTAGTGGTTCTCATTTAATTCAGCATTTTAATTTCTTTATTTCATTTTTTCTTTATTTTTAATCCATTTTGATTATAAAAATCATAATAAATAGGAAAATAAACATTTTAAAGCTATATTTTTTTCCCTAACTCTTTAAAAAATTTAGAATTTAAAAGGATTGAAAAATAGTTAATTCATGCATTTTTTATTTTATTTGCATTTTTTGCATTTTAATTGGTTTTATTTTCAATTTGTTTGACATGTGCTCTTGCGGATAGTTAGCTTAGATATGCATGTACCCATAGTAATTTTATAATATTTTTGTAAGAGAAGTTTAGGCTAGTTTGAACATTGGACTTTAGGTGTTGTAGAATTAGGGTTTCAGGATAGTTCCTTTAGGTTTAGGGCATAGTTTTAGGTCCAAATGAATGTTTAACCCCCTGGTTTTTGTATGAGAGATTCTTAAGAGGATTTGGAACCCTTAGAATGTTTTGCAGGATTTTACAATCCCTTTTGGTATTTTAAGTAGAATTAGTTTTAAGACTAACGTCTAGGTGTTTCTGTTGAACTAATTTGGATAGTTTAACTCAATAGCTCCCCTTAGACTAGGGTGGTGTTGCTTTTGAGCTTGGGTAATCATGAAGACCAGTTGAAGATGCTTTATAGAGCTTGAAGGAGCTTGGATGTGAAGATTCTCTCATCTTGTGGATGCTTGTCAGGAGCTTAGGGAAACTAGGGTTTTAGGAAGAGCATTAGACTAGTTTTGCTTCTTTCTTCAAACATGGAGTATCTTGTCCATCTCCATTCTATCCAATGACATAAAGTCCTCCTTGGGAAGCTCCATCTCTCCTTAGGAGGGATGAGTGGTATGCCCAAGTGAGTAGAACATTGAGGATACCTTTCATTTGCAATGTTAAGTCCTTAGTGATTTCCCTTGGTTGTCATTAAGTATCTTAACATTATAACTTGATTCTTGTTGGTTTGATTCTCCCTTGGAGGTGCTTGTTGAAGCTTGTTAAAGGAAAATATGAGGTAGCTTGTTGAAGCCAGGGTTTTACTGCTTGTTGAAGTTGAAGTCAGGAGCTTGTTGAGGCTGGTTACTGGTTGGGGTTTGAGCTTGCTTAAGCTGGGAGCTTGTTGAAGCCTGGTGCCTAGTGAAGATTGAAAGTTTATTGAAGCTTGAAGATGGGAGTTATTCATGAAGATGAAGGTTGTTGCTGTCAACTTTTTGCTGGTTAATCATCTGTTGCTGTCAGAGCTGCTGTTTGCTGTAGGAGTTTGGTGCTGCTGCTTGGGCTACCTCCTATGCTTTGGGATTTTGTTTTCTGTATTGTTTGTTGGCTTGTGTAGCTTTCCCCCTAGGTTTGAGGTGAATGTTGATTCACTTTGCCTGTTGTTTTCCCAGGTTCGAGGTTGAGTGGGACTCCCTTGCCTCGTTTGTATTGATGCATTGCATGCATTTTACTGTATTGGCTTACTTTCTTTTCTGTTTATCCCCTAGGATCCCTGATTTCCTCTGTGCAGGAGGGAATTATAACATACATTAGGATTCTTATCCATGCAT